AGAGAGAGAGAGAGAGAGAGAGAGAGAGAGAGAGAGAGAGGGAGAGAGAGAGAGAGAGAGATCTTTTTCTTATATTGGTAAAACTGAGATGATATCTATCCATCCATTCTTCCTAAGACGACTCTGGAAGCCTACCTCATCTACCTTTCTCTCCTCCCTTTCTCTCTCTCCCTCCCTCCCTCCCTGCCTGCCTGCCAACTCAAATATCATGATAAAATGTATTGAATCTTTACTTCTCACTTTCTCCATGACATTCTGGAACTTGTTTTGAAAAGGCAACTTGAGAAACAAACAAACAAACAAAACTGTCAAATCCTTGTCTGTCTGTCAGTCTGTCCTCTCTCTCTCTGTGGTAGATGTTTCCTTTACTGTGCAAGCCAGCCCTTCCCAAAATGATGCTTTAAAAACATAATTCAGTGTAATAACTCTACAGTTAATAGTTAGCTAGACAGACTAACCTATAAAAAATATAGATCAAGTTTTTATTCCTGATTTAAAACCTCCCACGTTGTGACCTCTATGTGAGATAGAGTGCTTCTGTGTACGTGCCACAAGGAAAGAGTCTTCTCAGTCAAACTTACCTCTTATGCCCTGGATCCTGCTGCTTATATTGCAGATACTCTTGGGCAGAAGCTTGGTTTCTTGGCAGATGTGAAGTTTGGGTCTAGCAGTGAAGTCTGTTTCATATTTATAGTTGGTTTTCTGCTCCCAGAAAAAGCCCAGACGGGTAGATCCTTGTGAGTGAAAAGGGGGAAAACAGAACGCGGTCATCCAATCTGAGGTCACAGAAGACGAGAGAAGACAACAGGGTGGACTGCCTCAAGCCAACATCACGTCCTCCCCTCCTTGCATTCCTGACTGGCTTTCCTCCTGGACAGAGCTCAGTTAAATGTATAGATGCACAAAGAGCCATCTGGATTGGAAAATGGGTGGCAGAATCCCCATTACTGGTTACATGGGAGGAAGAATGTGTGATTTTAAAATGAAATACCAAAGACAGGGGTGTTGATTTGGATGCAGAAACAACAGAGGGCCCCAGTTCTGGAAGATTCCATAAGCCTCTTTCTTGTCCTTCACCCTGGAGGTTTTTGAAGAGGCCTAAATAGCTGGCTTAAAGTGAGTGACGCTACTTGAAATAAAAATAAAAGAGGCTAGAAATCACTCTTCTCCATGAGCTTGGGATCAGCTGCAGCACGTCTGATAGACGGTTTAGGTGTTAGTGAGTGTGATTTCCAGCAAAGACTTCTAAACCCACACTGTCAGTGGCCTCCACCATGCAAATGACCGCGCGTGTGAAGGCGAACAACAGAACGACATGTACTGGGAAGCATGTGGCAGTCTCTTCTCCAGCAGCACAGCACAACTGCCAAGGCACACTTGAGTCACGTGACCCTATCAAGTATGGAATGCAACCTCACACCCTCCTAATGCTCAGTGGCTTGAGGTAGAACCCATTCCAGCAGAGGGACTTTCTAGTACAGGAATCTGGTTAGCTTCATTAAAAGAGACCAAATGAGATGGGGAGTCCAATGTGAAGCCAAGGCCATAAAGGACTAGAATCAATAGCAGGAGACCATGATTTTTGTCTTTTCTATTTCTTCTTCTCTATCTTTTCTTAAATCATAGATACCAGGAAGGTGAACTACCTCAAATCAAATATTTTCCAAGGCAGGAAGTGGTCGTGCACATCCTTAATCCCAGCACTCGGGAGGCAGAGCTAGGCAGATCTTTGTGAATTCAAGGCCAGCCTGGTCTACAAAGCAAGATCCAGGACAGGCACCAAAACTACACAGGGAAACCCTGTCTCAAAAAACCAAAACAACAACAAAAAAAATCCTATGTGATGTGATTGGCTTAGAAAGTGAAAGCAATGTATCCAGTCCACAGCCACTGAAATCAAACACAACTAACTGTACATTGAAAAGTATGGTTCACGATGTATGTTAAAGTAATTAGTGGAAATCCTTCTCTACAGAGTGAAAACTCCAGCTGAACATCCATGTGGCAGGGTCTGCTAATATTTACTGCTTCTTTGCTGAGGCCTGGGATGTTTAGTTCTACAGAAACCAAAAACAGGCATGCCTTATGTCTACCAGTCATGCCTAAAAAATGTCTTTTCAATTAAATGAGGTATTAGCATTGACCTTCTTGAGCCTTGTTAGAAAAAGCAAGCACTACTGCACAAAGACTGCTTTTCATGATCACCAAAACAATTCCCTGATGCAGTACTGCCTCCCCTCTCTTGTCCATTGGTACCATTCTACAGGGATGTCATTATCTTCTCCTGAGGTTATCTTCCGGGATACATTCCCTGTATTTCATATATGCATCTGTACAGTTCTACACAGGCAGTTGAACCATTTCTATTTGACCAGTATAAGAAAATAGAAATTGAGAACAGCCATTAGTTAAAGCACAGGCATCTATATCATAGCTTTTCCCATTTCTGGAAATCTAGTGGTGAATATTTCACATTCCACTGATTACATCATTATTTCTATACACACCAATTGCACTATAGGATATTACAAGGCAGAGACCAACTTATTCAATTTTAAATTGCTAAAACATCATAATATTTGGTATATTGGTCTTGAGTAGTGAAATGATTAAGTGAATGAATGGAGCAGGCCATTTATATTTAAATCCAGACAATGATTATTTGTGCTACAGTCACACTCTAATGAGAACTGTCTGGAAGAGCTTTCAGAGAGCACTGGCAAAGACTTGGCTGGCTATTCTTGGAGAATACACTGAGTATTTGTTGGATGGAGACAGTTCACTGAGGAAGCAGATTTTGACCCTTCAAGAACTTGAATGTGATGATGAGTTTACGACAGTTCTAAAAGCCAACATACGGTCGGTGGCCAGATTGTGGTTCTGGACTCAGAGGCTTCCATTTGGAAGGCAGACAAGCATTTGAATTACGGGTCTAATGAAAGTGTCAATAGCAATCCTGTTACTGGAGGAGCTGTAAAACCCTGCTTAATGAACTAGGCAGGGACATGGAAACACAAAAGTCTAAAATGTACTGTAGGAGAAAATGATAATTAGCCCAGATTTCGTGTACAAGATAAAATGCGGAGGGATGGTATTACCACTGAGCAATATCATAGCCCTTCAGGGGACTGTTTGGTTAACAGTGTTTGGCTCAGCCTTTTCCACCCTCCTTGTATGAATTGAGATTCACTACACAGTCACAGGCTGAGAGTTAGGGAAGGATGTCAGATGGTAAAATTCCTGTCATAGATGCTGACAAATGTTAGTGACAAAGGGTTCTCCAGTAGCCTCTTCTCGGGGAACCGTCTTATGAGATGCCTGATTTACCACGCTCAAGAACCCTGTGAAACACTTGTTCTTATCACTCAGCTTCTGAGCTAGCAAAGAGAAGAATCAAGGGTTTCATTTGACTTTGTGTGCTACAAGTCACCTTTCTTTGGATAGCTTGATATATGAGAGAGTGTGTGTGTGTGTGTGTGTGTGTGTGTGTGTGTGTGTGTGTGTGTGTGTGTTTCATCCCCAAATTGGGGAGAATGACTGAGGTATTTTAAAACGGGAAAATATTTTTTTTTTTTTTTTGGTTTTTCGAGACAGGGTTTCTCTGTGTAGCTTTGTGCCTTTCCTGGAGCTCACTTGGTAGCCCAGGCTGGCCTCGAACTCACAGAGATCCGCCTGGCTCTGCCTCCCGAGTGCTGGGATTAAAGGTGTGCGCCACCAACGCCCGGCTAGGGAAAATATTTTTTTGTTTTATAGTACCAAATTGTGAAGACTATAATCATCATCAATTAAAGGAAGGAACCGAGTCTGGATGTGGGTCAAGATTAGTGTCTTGAAGAATGCTAGAAGGGCTCATGCACTGAATTCCCTCCATGCTTGCAGGTCTGTGTGGGAAGGAAGATGGACAGACAGCAGGTATATGAATGAGAACTGAAGCATTAAAGAGGTGTTTGTTTTGGAGAGGACAAGGGTTAAAAGATTTTGTAATGAGGACCCTGGAGAAAACATGAGAAACCGTTTTTCATTTTTAATATTAATTGGGCACCCAAATATATATACCACCAATGGGTTAGAGAAAAGGGAGCTTGCTTTGCCAAGATAACCCACAGGCAAATCCTTGATAACCCACATGCTAAACCTCCTGCCAGACAAAAGCCTATTTGTAAATTACTCCACTTAATTTCCCAGGTCATGATTGCCTCTCTCTGCAAAGTGGTTTATGACATTCTCAATTAGGAGTTTGCTATGAAAATGAATGAATGAAGTATTTCATTCTGCTATGATATTTTAAAGATGAGTCACTTTTGAAAAGTGGTTTTGTTTCCCGTGTTCTGGATAATGTGTTTGAGGATGTAGTTTCCAGCCTCACCCATCACCCCATTGTGAAATCAAATTGAATGACTCTCTGCTCTTAGAACGATCGCTCATTCAAATGCATTCAATAAATAAAGCCCAAACACAATGAGGCACTTCTGCTAGAGCGTCCCGGAGAGTGAGGCCCTGGTCTCCTCCTGGATGAAGCAGAGACTGAAGTAAAGAAAATATTCACCCACACCCACTGCACAGCCACAGTGGCTTCTGTGCACTAAAGCTCTTCCAAGTACATCACATCATTGGCTCTTACAGGGAACCAATAATTGATTCATTATTCCATTTTAACATAGAATCTAGTACTGAGTGACCAGTGATTTGCCAAAACTCATACAGCAATCCACAATCTATCCTCTCTAAAATTCCCGTCTCTTATCCCTCCAGAGCAGAAAAAAAATCACCTTTAGATAAACACACAATAATATAATTAGTAGATCCATGACACCAGTTGGGCAGTAACTAAAATCATTCATATGTGTCATTGGTGGTACTATAAATAATGATGAATTCCTTCTCTACTTCCTGCAATTCTATGAATTCTACCCTGAACAAAAGGTCATACCAGTATGATCTTGTTCAGAGTTATGGAAATGTATGCAGCCTAAAAGAATATGCATCCAATACAGAGTAAAAATACCCATGTATCTCCCACTGCCATTTATTCTTGCCACCTCAAATGTTTTCTGAAATTAGACAGGTTATAAATCAGTTAAAAATTAAAATACACATTCTTGCCCTTAATTCAGTTGTGTATCAGAGAGAATCATGTGTATAGTAAGCTAGAAAGCTAGTAAAGTAAGACTGAAATGGGTATGATGAACTAGGGAGGAAGGAGATGGGGGAGAGAGTCAGGGAGAGCAAGGGGTGAAGAGAAGAAGATTGTTTTGTGACAATTTTAAAAGTTTTAAATTTATGTGTACAAAATACATTGAAAATTGAAAACACAAAATTCAATTTTTCCTGAATCTTAGTCTCCTAATGTAGTTAAGCCAGATCTTGGAGACGAGAGATGAATTTATCTGAAATCAGGACTGGGCAGTGTAGCATCTAAGAGTGGGGTAGAGGGGACACACCAAACACAGGAGAGCAGATGCTTAGAAAGAGTGACAGAAGTCGGAACAGCTTCGCTCTTCGCCATGGCCTCCAGCAGCCTTCTGAACCAATAAGACCATGGCTGTCTGGTCCTCACTCATGCTCTTTTCCCTCAGCGAAATGTTGTGCACTGAGTTTCTGCCTTCTCCATCTGCCGATCGGCTCTGGGACGTTGCAATGCAGAGTAGCTAGTACAGAAGGCACAGAGCTCCAATACAGACTGGTGCCCCAACTAGCTCCTGAGATGAGTTGGTGCTCATGGCCTTTTCTGGCA